ATTATAAGCATTTATTATAGTGAGTCATTGTTGAATTCTTGATACAAAGTTATTCATGATTCCATATTGGGAGCATTTTTTTGCACCATATCTAGGGTGTGTCGTTACACAGTTTTCAGAGCGCGTCATTGCACCGTATTTGAGGTGCATTGTTACACCACCTTTAAGGTGCATCGCTGCATCATCTTCGGAGTACATCATTATACCATATTTGGGGTGCGTTGTTGCACTTCGGTATGCGTCGTTGCACCATATTCGGGGTGTGGTTTTACACTGTCTTCGAGGTGTGTCATTGCACCGTCCTTGAGGTGCATGATGCCATTTTTGGGGCATTTCACAACATCTTTAGAGTGCAGAGTTGCACAATATTCAAGATTATGTGATGCTTCATAGGGTGCTTACCCTACAACGTATGTCATTGATTTGCATGGTGCTCTGTTACTCTAAATCATACTTTGTTAATCTGCACGGAGTTGTAAATCATGTTGTTACTCTGCAAGGTCCACCAATGGCGACTAGTAGGGGGCGACCAATAGTGGTCAATGATGGCTGACAATCTATGACAAACGGTGGTCGGCAGCTGCAGAGGAAGTTATCATGGGGTCTTCAATCAAGAACAACACTGGAAAAGGCTCCTTCTTTTGATCCGACTCTAGGTTTAGCTCTTTGTCTCCCACCTTTCATAACGGAATTAGGACTATTTATAGAGTTTGGGAGTGACCTCCCCCGTAAATAAGGAAGGAATCTTAACCATTCCATCGGATGCCCAGAGAAATTCTCATTATTGGCTGACTTATTGTGGACATTTTGGTGACTTAATGATATTGAAATTGAGTGACCTTAGGCTCATTAGAATATAAGCTCGATTTGACAATAAGCTTGTCCTATTTGGAATCCATTCGACCTTTAAATTACCCACCAAAAGCTTCCAAAATTGGTTTAATGGCTTGATTAAGACTTGATTTGACTCGAATTAGATCAATTTTGGTGTCATTGTGTTCATGTCGTCGAGCCTATTAGTTTACTATATATTTGTTGAAATCAGAGTTCTTAGAGTTCTGAATGATTTTTTAATTTAAGTTTGAATGTTTCTTGCTAAAAAACTATCTTGAGATACGTGCCATATGATTAAAATTTGTTGATGACATATCAAAGCTTTTCATTATTATTGTTATATAATTGTTACATCCCTAAAGAATCACAGTAGTAGAGTGAAATTTATTGTCTTGGTGTTGCACAAAGATCCATCACATGCATAGATGATTAAAAAGTAACTAGAGAATATACCAAGTTTTTTACGTGAAAAAACTCTCGAAAGAGAAAAAATCATGGTGTCTAGCTCAATCAAAGTAATCCACTATATGAGTGTAAGTAGACTGATTAACTATTCTTATGAATTGAAGAAGATGAAATTAAAAAGTTGATAACTAGACATGTACAATATTAGTTAGTTATAATAGTCATAATTAGGTTACAATAAATGTAGTTGATCATGAAAGTTGTAGTCAGTGGATATAATACTGGCAATTTGCCATAGAGGCCATAACGGTGGTTGTAATAGCGATGATTAGGCACAAAGGCTATAGTTGGAATCATAAATAGCGTTAGTTGGCCACCGATGTCATAATCAATGACAATAATAGCGTTAGTAGTGACAGAGTTTGTAGTGAGAAGCTTTAATAACGTTAATTGACCATAAAGTCTATAATTGTTAACTAAAATAACATTAATTTATCACATAAGTTGTAGTTGAAAGTTGTAATAGTGTTTGTCGTCCATAAAGGTTGTACTGGAAGCTACAGTAATAGCTAGCCACATAGGTTGTAGTGGGAAGCGAGCGTTAGTTAGCTCCAAAGACTGTAATGGGTAGCTGTTATAGTATTAAGCCACATAGGTTATGGTTTGTAGTTGCAGTAGTGTCAGTTCGCCACAAGTCATAGTGGGAAGCTACATTAGTAGTTAGTCTTATAAGTCGTAGTTGGTCATATAAGTCGTAGTTTGTAGCTACAACAACATCAGTTGGTCAGAGATCATAGTGAGAAGTGATAAAGAAAGTTAGTAAAGTGGACTGTAGTTGGTCACGTAGGTCGTGATTGATTATTGCATTAACATTTGTTATACACAGAGGTCGTACTTGGAAGCTCTAGTAGCAGTTACCCACATAAGTCGTAGTTGGTCACATAAGTCATATTTGGTAGCTACAGTAGCATCAGTTGGGCACAAAAGCCATAGTTGGAAATTGTAGTAGCAGTTAGTCGCATAGGTCGTAGTTAATGACATAGGTTGGAGTTGCTAGCTAGTTGTAATCGCGTTGGTTAGACATAAATGTTATAGTGGAAGCTGCAGTAATAATTAAACACATTGGTCATAGTTGATCACATAGGCCATAAATGGTAGCTACAATAACAACAGTTGGTCATAGACGTCGTAGTTAGAAGTTGCAATAGCAGTTAGCCACATTGGCCAAAGTTGTTTTTATAAGTCATAGTTGGTAGCTGCAGAAACGTCGGTTGGCCATAGAGACAATATTTAGTCACATGCCATAGGTAGTAGCTGCAATAACAGTTAGCTACATAGGCAATAGTTAATCACATGGTCCAGTTGGTTGTTGCAGTAGCAATTAACTACATGGGTCATAGTTGATAATTGTTAGTAATAGTTCGTAGTTATTCACTTATGTCGTAATTGGTGCTACAGCAATTTGTGGTTGCAACCCTTTTTCTAATTTTAATATTTTACACGAGAGCCATCACTTATCGGTATACAATATAAGGAAAAAAAATCATGAGTCCAGAGAAAGTCGTCGTATTCTTAATAAACAAGTTTCATCATGAGTTATTGTCGAATCTTCAATACGTCGTGTTAGGGATATGCCATTGTGTAGTATTCAGGATAAGTCATTACCTCATGCTCGGGATACTTCATTACACTGTATTCGGGATACTTTGTTTTCATTTATTCAAGATATGTTGTTGTTCAGTATTTGAGATACTTCGTTTCCTCAAACTCGAAGTACTTCATTACATCGTATTAAGGATGCTTCATTACCATGCATGTGAGACATGTCTTTACACCATATTTGATATACGTTGTTACTCCATATTCAAAATATTTTGTTACACTGTGTTCAAGATACTTTGTTATCTCATATTTGAGATACTTCGTTGCATTGTATTTGAGATGCTTTGTTATCTCTTGTTTGGGATGTTACAAAATAGATTTTGCCAACAATAGCCAGTAGGATACATCAGGTAGTGGTTGTCAGCAGTTGGCGGGTGGTGGTCGACGACTATGAAGGTTGAAAGGCATCACCCTATTGGAATTTGACTTGCTTTCCTCCCTTTTTGAGTGAAAAAAGAGTGTCTATTTATATGCTTTAAGGGAGATATATTTTGATCCTTTGGCGAGTAACTTACCCAACCATCTGATCGAATGACTCATATTGATCCTCTTTGATCAAATGATTTTTTTTTTTTATGATTTGAGAGTCTTAATGATCTCACTATTAAGGGAGCCTAGGATTGTTGGATTTCTCTCGTCAAAACACTTGATTTGACTATATGTATGTCAAAATTTTAATTTACATGACCATTCAATTAACGATTTGAAGTATCCAATTGTGCTTTAATGACTTAGATCTGAACTTTGATTTGACTAATGTTGGTATTATTGGTTTGTCTTGTCAAGACAATTATTTTTACTACAAACTTACTTAAATCAGAACTCTAAAAAAAATTTAGTTTCATTCTGAAACATTTTTTATTTAAAAAATGCTTTGAAATTCACCACAAATGATACTTTTTAGTTTGAATTTGGAACATTTATTTAAAAATGCATCAAAATTCACAAAGTGTGATAATTTGTAGTTTGAATCTAGACACAAAGGTAGCAGTGGAAGCTACAATAGCAGTTAACCATATAGGCCTTAGTTAATCACATAGGTCAATTAGTTGGCCACAAATGTCATAGTTGGAAGTTATAGTAGCAATCAACCATATATGTTATAATTGGTACCTACAAAGAGCTAGTTAGTCATAGATGTTGTAATTGGAAGTTGCAAGCAGATAAGTTGTAGTTAATCATATAGGTCATAGTTGTTAGTTGTATAACTTAAGTTGGCCACAGAGTCTGTATTTGGAAGTTGTAGTAGCAATTATCAACATATGTCGTAGTTGGTCATATAGACCTTAGTTGGTTGTTGCAGTAACGTCGGTTGTCCACAGAGATCGTAGTTAGTCACTGAGGTCGTAGTTGATAGCTGCAATAGCAGTCAAATACATAGGATATAGTTAATCATATAGGTCGTAGTAGGTAATAGCAGTTGATTACATAGGGCGCAGTTAATAGCTGCAATAGTAGTTAACTACATAGGCCATAATTAGTTAGATAAACCATAATTAGTCACATTAATTTTTAGAACACCAAACTTTTATTTTTTTGTTGGAGGGAGGGGG